CATGCAAGTCTCTTACCGTTTCTCTGCATGACCCTCGGATGTGACTAACTTCCTGCAGCTCTCGCTCTGTTAGCTCGAGAGTCCGAAAAAGGGACGTTTCCTACTAGGGTTGGATCTCCCTGCCTTCCTGGCATGTAAAAATGTCCAATGAGTCAGCTGACACCTGCCGATTTTCTTATGATGGAATCCTCTCCATTAATCCTTGAGGAGGAACGGCTTTATTGCAGCCAGCCCAACGTTCAAATAGGCTTTTCCTTTTCTAGCAGACCTCGCATCATGCAAGGGAATGGCAGATGTTTAACCGCAACTTCTGCTGCTTATATTACAAAGTATTTTTCCCAGGAAATTGAATATGACGTAGGAATAGGGAATCCCCTCTGAGATCGCTAGCGCCCAAAGACACTTTCGATCCACCTCTGCGGATACTGGTTCTTTTCATTTGTAAGGATAATGGTTTTGCAGCTGCGGTAGAATCCCACCTGGGAGGTTAGTGATACTGAAAAGCTGCTTGTATATTCAACCGCTACTGTTGCGCGGCCAACCCCACGCCTAATCATAGCCAGACGCGCTGCTTGTCTGCGGCCTCTCACCTCTGATTGCTCTCTACCGCTGAATGTGTGTTGACCTGTTGGCATCAGCGCTGGTCCCATTGGCAGAGTATGAAGACGGCAGTCAGGTATCACTACCCGGTCCGCGTGCACTTTTGACTGGAGGAAGTGGCAAGATCCTGCAGCTGCGGACCTACATATTTACCTCGCGGATGGCTACAATCGTCCTGAATACTAACTGTCATTTCCCGACTGCTCCTCGCCATCTTCGATGTGTAATGCTTGCGTCGATACCAGAATCCCGTCTCAAGATATCCGGCAATCGCGAGGCTTCCCTCCTCTATCCTTCTTTCTTCCACCTTCCACCTCTTCCACCTTCCACCTTCCACTCTTACTTCCCTTCTCCCTTCAAGTGCCTGCTTACAGGATGGGATGGGAAAATACGCCTATACTCTAGCAGCTAGATGATCCACAATCGACAGAAGCGCTATAACTTCGAAGTTTCGCAGCAACTAGCGTGGGGTCTAGAAAATGTTAAACGTGGACGCATTGAAATTAAATTTTTCCTAGTGTTCTGTTTGAAATCCAGAAACGTGGAGTGAACGGACAAGCTCGTCGGTGCCCTAGTCGTAAAAGACGAAGGCGGAGCTAAGTCCAACCTTATCCTTTCTTTCCCGTAGCCGTTGCGAGATGGATGGCAGATTCTGGGGGACCGTTACTCATCATCATAATCCTTTTCTATTTTGGATTTTCTTTAGGCATATGCTCGGTGACTTTCATTATATCACGATTTCCAAGTCAACAATTTTTTTAAATCAAGTCCTACTGATTGTTAGTAAGCTCCAAACATAAGACTCTACCTTCACTTTCTGGTTTCTGTACAAGAGTGGTCCGTAGTATCAGGTGGCTACAGAACTCCATCCCTAATACTTTTCGATGCTGGTGGGAATAAAATGGAAACTACAAGGTTCCAGTTTGGTAGCGCCATGTGCTCGATTTTCACGTTTTTGTACTTGACTAGATCCCTTTTTGGGCTGTGGGCCGCACTCTAGTTCCATTCAGAGTCGTGCTGGCCTAGGCGATATGGCTGACATACCATCACCTGCCGGGCCAGTCAATGTACGAATCACTGTTTTATCATCTTTCACCAGTCTGGTAATAGTAGGTACATCTAAAGCAGGAAGGCTTAGCTGGCTTGTGCGGTGGCCGATCCGTGATGTGACCCCTGACCGCACTGGTAGGCGGGCCAGTTGACACCACATTACCTCCCCGGACTTCCTCATATGATTGTAGAATCAATGAAAACTTTGCTCAATAGGCAATTTCTTTCCACACGAGAGTGTTTCTCCTACTCTCCAAATGCAAGCAAACAGAATGCTTGGCTAAGCGCAGCCAGTTAATACGAAGTAACAGCCATGTTAGACGCTATTGGGCTCGAGGGTAGCGGGAGGGGCATTCTATACTTATGCTATTTTCTATTTTATGCTTTGGGCTATTTTTCTTGTGTACTTTTTGTAACTAATAGATCATGGTATGAGACCTGTAAGTTCTGTGCGCTGCGAATCATTTCGGTACAGGAATTTCCTAGGTCTCGCACAAGGCGGTCTGTGCAAGCTCATAGTTAGCTAACTGTATTTGGTGCCCCCACCAGGTCGAACTGCGCCGTTACGATGCTACTTAATAACATACAGTTACTAAGCAGCTAAGATAAGGCAATACCTACTGCTATCACAAAAAGGCGACAGTTTGGCTTGACTCGTTATCACTGCCAGGATTTTCATGAACAGATTCGAAGGTTGTGATGTATTTCAATAGCTGTTGTTCGCGATGAGCTCACATTGTAGTCGGCTGTTTCTTACTCAGAGCCAGCGTAATAATAAATTTCGCTGGCAACGTAGTTTATTTTGTTGAATAGAATAGGACTGGTCAAGTCAGAATAGGCTCCTAGCGCCTACATTCTCGTTTCTAGCGCTCATTCTGTCTTTCGCTCACAACTTAGAATTTGCCTTGGTACCCCTCCCGCCCACCTCTCGAACGACGCGAAAATGATTCGAAACTTTGGGGAAACGCGAAATTTCTAGAAGAACTTCGAAGGATTGGGAGTCTAGCAGCTAGGCAAATGGTAAGTAGGATGGTGAAGAGGAGAGGGGTCATATCAAGGGAGGGGATTTAGGAAGGATTATTTGCTGAACCGCTTTCGTTAGCGACACGATGTACCACTGGAGCAATGAGACGTTTATTCAGGGCGGTACTATGGTGTTTTTTTCTTGCTTTTATCTCATCCAATTTTGATATCAGGCGCTTTGACATTGGTATTGAAGGCCCACTGACCGCAATTTAAGAGCAGTTGAAAGGCGATTCGTCTTAAAGGCACGGTTCTTCACGACTACCTATAACTATCTAAGCTTTGGAAAAAAGGAAAGATAGTGAAAAAAACGCACGACAGATCCCTGTACAATTTCGCTTCAGAAGTGTGAAGTAAGAGCGTAGGCACAGTTGTTACAGGTGACTCGCCAAAGAAGCCAGTGACTGCCGCGCATTGGTTGTCTAATCAACTGCGTGCTTCTCGTCGCTTTTTCTGGTCTCTCACACCATGAAACCACGTTGAATTTCGAACGGGCAGCTGGTATCCGAGATTCAACTTATACCTTTAATGTTTTACTGTCATGTTTATGTTTATTAGAGCTGCAAAAAACGCTCTGGTTTTTTTTATTTACGAGAGAAGTAAACTGGAAGACCACTTATAATTCTAAGGCCGATACCAAGAATTATCTCGGTGGCTCATAGCGATGTCCTGCCTTATAAGAGCATTACCGGTAATCGCTATGCCGAGCTTTGGAAGCTCAGCCTTTCCCCGCGCGCCTCCTCTAATTGTTTAGGCATTCAGATTAGCGTTTTCTGCACTTGTGGGGCGTTAAACCAACAGGATCAAGAAGGCTCGAATTGCTGGAATCCTGATTATTATTTTAAATACAATATTTTATACTGGCTATATTGCTAGCGACTTTTGTGCTGATATGATATGGATTTCGGCAGCGTTTTTCGGCGTCATATTACCCTATAGGCTATCTTTTGGCAAAGCTTGAAGACGAGCAGTGTCAGGCATTTTGTTCGTCCACCGCAGATTGCTACTCGTTAAAATCACTTTGTGGGACAAACATTGAAATTTAATCGCGCCTTCTGCGGCTTAGTTTGAAGCACAGCCTAAGATTATTATTTTTTATTGAACGACCTTGACAAAGTAGCTTGCAATTGAAAGTCGTCAGAACAAATAATTTGCTTGGTTGTCCGTCATCATGTGTGGGAAATTAATATTTTTCCTTCTCTGCTGCTGCCACGCCCACACACTCTCAAGTATGTGGATTGGCTATTCCTCGTGTGGTCAAAATGCCGGTCTTCATCTTCCTTGGCGGTCGCCTATCGTTTTTGTCGTTCACGCCCGAAACTTCCAAGTAGGGAAAACCTTAAAAGAAAAATGGAAAATGGTGGGTAGGTTGGGGGAAGGGTGTCGTACCGGAGAGAAAAATTGTGGGGGAGGCGAGAGGGTTCGCCTGGCACCGCAATTTCTCCCATCCAATGCAATACTCTGAGTCCTGCTCATTCATTTGTTATCCCTGGGAGGGAGTAGGCGTGTTGCTTGAACATGTCATAGAATAGGTCACTCATCGGATATTTCAGTTTGAGACAACTGTCATCTCGTTTAGTGTTGGATGTTTGTTTCCTCACTCAGCGCTACATCTAGAACATTCCTGTATTCCTTGTTAAATGCAGTATTTCTATTTTGTTTACGCCATCATATGACAAGCAAAGAAGCCCCAAGCGTCACAATAAAGAGAACTCTAGGCGAATTCTCATTCTCCATCCTTCTCTAATTTACTACAGCTCTATTCTCTCATTTCCAGCCTCTCCCCTTTATGCCAACTACCCTCATTATTTTCTTACTACTCGCCAATACGGTTTTAGAAAATGTTCTACTATTTGTCCTGACATTTCAGAACAGATCTCCATGACCCAGGGAAGACTGGCAGAAAAAAATTAATCCACTCGCCATCATGCCATCTCCGCTTCCAACAAAGGATGACATGAGTCTGTACTTAACCCTCCTAAACCAAGAGCCTGGATATCAGAGCAGAAGATCTGGTGGAAACTCGAAGTAAGGCTGCATCCCGGGAAGACACAGTTACTGTTGAATCATACAGTAACGCGTGGACGTCTGGGGGTGAGGGGGGTGAGAATTCATCTGTGAAGCGTTGTTCAGGTCGTTAACTCTCAGGCTAGCTTTTGTAGAACAGCGAAAATGACTTGACCTCTCAATACCTCCTTTGGAAATAGGTCAACATCTACACAGTA